AAAAAAAAAAAAAAAAAAAACCTATTACATGCCAGCTACGAATCTAGATGGTGAAGAACAATGAACCTAACAGATTCCTGCCCTTGTAGAGCTCACCTCTATGCTGGGTGCCACAAACAGATACATAAAATAAGGTCAAGAACTGCTCACTGAAAGGAACAGAATGAAATCAGGGAAGGGGGTGCAAAGTGATACGGAAGAAAGCCAGGCTTATACTTTCAATGGGTGGGCCCAGGAATCCCAACCAGAATACACAGCATTCAGACTGGCAGCTCAGCGAGCAGATAGGACAACCCTATGTGCATCTGGGGACAGCATTTGCAGGGGGAAAGAGCTTCTGAAGGGCCAGAGCACTGCATGGGACATGCCTGCACCTCAGGGTGAGGCTGGGTTGCAGAAGCAGGTGAGCGGGCGCTCATGGAAGAGTAGGGAATGACTCAGAAAACAGCGGCCACCAGGACCTGGTAAGGTCCCTGGATCTTCTTCTAGGTCTGATGGGAGTTGAGGGCTTTCAGCAAGGGAAATTCACATATGAGAGTAACTTCAGCCACTCTCTTCAAAGTTTTAACTACAATAAACATGCTGAAATCTCTGTCCCTGGGACACCACTTTCATGGGAAAAGACAGTTTTGTGTCACAGTGGCCTCAACTGGGAGAGAGTCCACATGCATCTCCTGAGCCACCAGGTGGTCTCTTGAGCAACCAGGTAGTCTCCTGAGCTACCAGCTGGTTTCCTGAGCCACCAGCCAGCGTCTCCTGAGCCACGTGCATGCCTGCTACTCACTGCCACCAAGTGGCTTTTCATCTCCTCTCCCTGGTAACACAGCAGCCTGAGCAGCAGACCGCTGCCATGCCAAGAACACACTGGCTCTTAGCTGCAGGTGGCAGTCAGCAGCTTTGGCTGAGTGGAGCAAGGAAAGGATCCACATAAGCACTGGGAGATGGGAGTCGAGGCAGGAAGCCAAGGATGTTTAAACTTCCAGTGGAGCCAGGACAATGCCAACAGCATCCTTTCCCTGAGCGTCAGGTCCCAAGGCAGGTGCCTGGACCCCTGAAACAGCATAAAAGGCTGGTACCACTTTGCCCTGCCTGGCACTGGTGGCAGCTGCCAGGGATGACACAACCCATCCCCGGCATGCATTTTGCAAGGTCCTTTTGCAAGGTTCCCCTTTCCAGTTCTTTTCAAAGCCTCTGTCAGGCCAAGATGACACCACCTGCCCTAGGAGTGACACAGTCTTGAGTCTGTCTGATGTGAGAGCTGGCACAGAAGAGCTTAGATGAGGGGAAGCCAAAAAGAAAGGCCAGAGCCCCATGGGAAAGCATTACGGAACAGTGAGGTGTGTCCATCACAGTCACCCTGTGGTCAGCCTCAGAGCTCACACAAAGCGAGGAAAGAGCGCCTTGCTTCGTCACTGTCATGACTCCCCTTGGTCTCTGCTTGGCTCCTTCTCTGCTACTGGCAGAGCTGAATCACTCAAAAGTGTCATCTGCATAGGTCAAAGGCAGTCCAGCATGGGCAGCGTTACGACTGAACATAGGCGATGCGATGGTAGAATACCTCACTGCATTCCTAAAATAGGACTTAAGGGATTAAGGAGTAATTTCCAAACCTTCAAATATTTGAGGAATTGTCACCTAACAGAGCTCCTGATACCTTAGCAACATGAGCTAATCTCCCTAGCACAAAGACATGAGCACGCAATTTCACTTACTGCCACTGCTGCGTATGCTAAGCACGCTAATTGCTGAGAGCAAAGACCAACAAAGAGGCCCCCATTGGTCAGAATTTTCAAAAATTCAAGACATAAGAAAAAGACTTTGGTTAACAGAAATTAAAATAATTAGTATTTGTACCATTCTTTAATATCTACATAAATTTGTGCATGTTATTTGATAAATAATCTGATCAAGGGAGTCCACAGAAACATTTACTGGTTTGAGTTACCTAAGGTTTTGACCTAACAGTTTTTGGTATTCCCTGATCTGAAATTTCTGGTAGAAGATATTTATAAAACAATTTTCAACTAAATTTCATTTAGTTGAAATGCAATGTCAACTTCTTTTTTTAATTTTTTTAATTTTAGGGAGGGCCTACAGGGTGTTCAGGGCCTCACTACTAGATCAGACTCATAGTGATCCTCCTGTTTATAGTCTCCCAGGAGCTGGGATTACAGGCGTGCACCACCAAGCCAGTCTCAGTTGCCATCTCAGCACACCCCAGGGGCTGGGCTGGCATGGCAGGTCCGGGATAGAACCCCTGGCCTCTGTGCCTGCTTGCAGGCGCTTTAATTTGCTGAGCTATTTGGCTGGCCCTTCCAAAATCTTATTGAGATTTGCTTTATCATATGTGAAATAACTTTTAAAATAACTTACAATAAATTAGAAAGAATTTTCCAACTGGAAACCATGGAAAGAAACTGCTGTATATTGGTTATTCACAAATCAGTTTTCATAACTAAAATCTAGTGTACTATTTCCATTGTATATTCACAGTGTAACCATACAAACAGGATGTATTATATTAGGACCATTTAATATAATTTGTGATCATCATTTTTCATATATACCATTTAATATAATTTGTGATCATCATTTTTCATATATAAGTGTGATTTTTAAATTCGAGCTGACGCTACTACGCAAGCATTTCTCATAGTTTTAGAAAAGGGGGAAAATGTCAAGGAGAAAAAATGGGTAAATACTTGCTTTGTAAAAAGAGGTACATAATTTAAAATATATGATTTTATTAAAATCAATGTGTTATAATTTACTTTGAAATAACTTTTGGTAACTTCTCTACAATTTAAAAATAAATGTATTGGGGCCGGGGAGATGGCTCAGTAGAATAAGTGCTTGCCTGGCAAGCACACAGGCCTGAGTTCAATCCCTGGTTCCTCCAAAAAAAATAAATAAAAATAAATTTATTGCTGCTGCATTTTTTGAGAATTCACTCAAAGAAAATCTCCTGTTAAAAAATAAATATGTCCGTGTAAAACCTAATGAAAGGGTAAAGTTGTATTTACAGGGATTACAACTGTTTTCTTTTAATGCATTTGGTACAGGGTCTCACTACGAAGCTC